CCCCCCCCTCACACCCACCGAACCACTGCGCCCAGCCATAGAGTATATCCTAGCCTGGACTTGTGCTAACTAGGCTGCCCCGAACACCTGGGCTACTGGGTTGTGAGCCGTAGGGCGAGATCTCTTCAGTTGGGCGTTGTAGCTGAAGGGGCTTCTTCTGCACTACCTCAGAGTCTATTCTTGAGTCAAATCATCGAACTCTCTCTTTCAACCTCTAGTTGAAAAGCGCTGTCCTCCTCTCAACCCTTGTCTATTTGAAGAATGAGGCTCATTTAAAGCTCGCCCAAGTCTAGGACAAGTAGACGCAAGTACCCATGCGCCAGTTCCACTTTGGTCATGGCACTAAGAGACCATGTCCAGTCATAGAAATTGGTTGCGTAATGAATTTTGATGGCCTCGTGCTGCCCCAGATCTTGGCAGTGTACTTCCGATATACGAAGTCAATACAAGCTTTTATGAGGCCCATGAGGGGTTCAATGTTGACGGGAGAGCTTGGGGTCACTTGATCCCCGGGTGTAAGATGCTGTACTCACCCAGGGACCGAAAGGGGAATACCGTATCGAGCCAATAGTTGCAAAAGCGCATAAAGTACTCCGACCTATCTAGTGAAGGATAAGTTCCTTAGTCGGTCTTCAAATGAGAACATCAAAATTCTCTGTGAGCTGTGCGCCTACCACGTCCTGGTATGCGACTCATGCATGTCTGTCATGACAAGACGAGTCTTCCATGAGATTCTCCCCTTTCAGAGTCTCGCTGTTCGGTCAAGTAGAAAGTAAGTTGGCCGAATGGCCTCTCGTCGCCAAGAGAATCTATTCATCAGAGATCTGTAGATCGTCTTCGCTCTCGCCGGGCTCCGAGTTCCCAGCGGCGCTCGCTCCCGCACCAAGGCGTGAACTCTTCATATTCTTGCGTGCCGGTACTAGCGTTTATCCATAGCCGTTTCTGTACTGGCGTGCCCCGACACGACGGGCTGGTCTGGCTGGGTGGCTCATAGCTATGGAAGCTGGGAAGAACCTGCTCGAAAAGGCATTCAATCACAAGCCTCATGACCTCAAAATCTCGAAATATGCAAGGGATGCTGCTGTTTGTGGCTTATAGCCTGTAGCTTGTACATAGCTAGATTCCATCAGGGTTGTCCCATGCTAATCAGAAATAAGACCCTGAATTTGGCGGCTAAGCTTGTCTAAGTGCGATGACGTTGACTCCTTGAACCCCTGGTTCGGCCATGATACAGTCATCTTTTGCTCTCGAGCTAGGAAACCCTCTGCCCTGTCGATCGATCCCACACTTGGTTTCGCACTCTTTATTGGCTCTCTAGGTGTGTCGAACTGCAGCATCGCCGACACGCTTCATTGCAAGCTAGGACGAAGAGCAAAAAGTATGAGAAATCGACTCAATTCCAAACACCAACGCCGGCATCTATGCCCAGCATTCAAAGACATGACGCCTTGTCTGATGAGGACAGTACCTCTATACATTTTGGCGACATATCTCGAAGCCTTGTACAAATGATAGTCATGATTTGGCCTATTTTCCAGTGCCGATTGCCTTTTGTGTGCGCCAGCTATTCCTTCTCCTGCGGATTGCAACTATCTGAATAGACAAATTTCCAAAGCCTATCTCTGATATGGTCAAACAATTACGGATATTTCCTTTGGCGATATAGTTCACGCAGATCCTTCAGTTCTGATCGTACATCTCTTCATCACCTTCGCCCTTGATGTTGGCGTCCTTACGGATCGGGATCTTGATGCCTTGGTTTGCAAATTTCTTGCTCAATGGTGTACTCTCGCACACGCCGGGGAACTTCTTGGCCGAGTACACGTGGAAACTCTCGCTGTAGCACGACGACAGGATTGGCGCTCGGCCTTGGTTTACGTTGGTCCCCTGCCCTCCGGGGCGTCCAACGTTGACGAAGGAGAACCTCAATCTGCAACTTCTGCGTTAGCAATTGCAAGCCACGGCGCAGACCGAATCCAGTTGCCCTTACCGAAAGGTCCCTTCTGTACGGACGCTGAGGTCTTGGAGGACAAACCAGATACCTGATTGTCCTTCAGTATCCTCGAGACGGAATGCGCTTGCGGCCAAACTGCCAATCAAGTTTCTCGTAAACATCCCTTGGGGTTGACCTCCCACTACTGCCATCCGAGTAAGCGCATTTTGATCCTGTCCATATCCATTACGGAAAGGGGCACCTGGCGGAGGAGCCGAAGGTTCGGCATTGTAACCGCTATGTCGCGGGTAATATTGTTGGGGCGGACCGTAGGAACTGCTCGGCGGGTACGACGGTGCTACTCTTGTGTCAGACAAGGATTTGTTCTCGCTCGTTGTTCTTCCTGTTTCGACCTACCTTGACCATAGCTCTGCTGCACCGGCGGGGGATAGTCCTGCCCATAGTTCATCCCTTGCGATTGGCCATATCCAGACTCGCGACTCGGGGGCAGAGATTGTTGCTGGTACGAAGGGGTTCCTGGTTCTAAGGATGAATAAGTGTAGGTACTTGAGGATGCCATAGCACCAGTCCCGGTTGAGGACCGCACCAGATTGACTTCTTTGGTACCATCATGATTCCACAGATCGACCGACAACACAAACATGGCGTGGTCTAGGGTACTGCACATTATGTATCAGCACAAACCAAGGTGTCCCCTTTTTCTCTTTCGCCACTGCATCAACGTACTTGTAATCAACCTCTTTACCCGTCTCGGTATTGATTATGACAAGACGAACACATGGCGGCGGCGTGATTGGGCGACGGTCCTAAATGAGAACTGTGAGACATATGATCAGGGCTCACAGGCAATGAAAGAAACAGACCTTATCGCCAAAACCACACATGCGCGCACGTACGGGTTGTTGCTTCACATCGAGACTATAAAATCGTTTCAGCGGGGTCGCGAAGAAAGTTTGAAGGATACGCCTTGGTCACAAACCTGTACTTCCAGCCTGAACCTTCTTCAATCTTGGAGTAGGACGGGGGGACGTATTCGGAATCTTTCTGATGGTCGGTGGGGGATGGTCCCGACGAGGGCGGGGGAGGAGGCTCATCATGTTGCGAAGGAGGAGGGACGTGTTGCTGGTGCGGATGGGGCCGAGGGCATTGACTCGGCTGAGGCTGTTGA